TGGGATCTTAGTTCTCCCGCCAGGGATTGAACCCCAGTTCTTGGCAGTGAGAGCTCAGTGTCCTAACCATTAGACCACCAAGGAATTCCCTGTTAGCTTTCAAATTTCACTTAAAACCTGGAGTCGGCTTTTTTTCCCACTTAGGCTCACACCCTTCAAGAGTTTTTATATTTGCTGTTTATCATGTGCATTTGCTCATAGAACCCAGAACACTGCCTTGAACAAAGCATAATTTCAGGAAGAAAAGCAGAGGTGAACAGGGACACTGGGGGCGGAGGGGGGGCCACAAGGTGCTGGTATTTTCACATATTATTGTAAAATAACACATCCTTACAACAGACTGGCATCATCTTCTTACAGCTGAAGAACCTGAGGCTCTCAGAAGGGGTAAGCAGCTTGCCCGTGAGAATAATAACAGAGGCAAAATCTGAAGCCAGTATCTGACTTTTGCCTCAGTGCCCCTTCCCCACTTCCATGAATGCCCTCGTCACTTGCTGCTGCTGCTCGGCTGCCTCTGCTAGGTTTTCAGGGTGGGTGTGGAAGGCTCCGTGGGCTTCCCAGGCAGTGCAAGTGATGAAGCACCTGCCTGCCAATGCAGCAGAGATGTAAGAGAGGCAGGTTCAATCCCTGGGTTGGGAAAATCCCCTGGAGAAGGAAATGGCAATTTGCTCGTGTATTTCTTGCCTGGAAAATTCCAAAGAGAGAGGAACCTGGCGGGCTACAGTCCAGGGGGTCACAAAGAGTCAGACACGACCAGAGCATGCACACACATGGCTAGGCTAGGGGAAATGAAAAATCTAGGCAGGGCAGCTGAGGTCAAGTAGGCAACTAAGGAAACTTGTAGGAAGCACGGATTGCAGCACGGGCGGGGACTCTGTCATCCTGGGAACAGCAAGAACAGCTGGGGCAGCAGAAGCGAAAAACCCAGTGCATGGGGTGAAGAAAATCAAGTGGAACAGGAGCAGAGCTGACTCCACATTTCCTGGTAACTGCATGTTTGCAAGCAAACAGCAGTCCGGAGCCTGCCTGGGTGGAGAGGCTGGGCCCACGTTCTCCCTGCGGGCTGAAGCAGTTGGGGCCCTGCTGCAGCACAGGACTGCCTGGGGAAAGCAGGAAAAGAGGGAAGCTGCAGGCAGAAGCCCGGAGCTGAATTCCCAGCAGAAGCTAGGCATTTACGTGCGGTAATTGCCTGTAGGTCAGTAGATTCTTAAACAGCATGAAAGCTACCGAAAGGTCAGTGAACGTTTTTAAAAATTTCAGTCCACATCTGTGCATCACATCGCATGCTTTGCTGTGCAGAGGCTCAGCAAGGGAGAAAAGTGTTGACTCGAGGGTCCAGGAGCCTCACCCTGCCCTGCGGAAAATACCATCTACGAGAGAAAGACACCTTCCTTCACCCGCCTGGGCTTTTGGAAGGCTTATCTGGTGATAAATTTCATTTCTGTCTCCCTACTGTTCAGAGGCCTCAGCCGTCAGCGTGAGTGAGATAAGAGCAGAGGAGCTGGGTTTTCTCCCTCTTGCTTTTGTGGATTTCTGACACGGAGGCCTCTCATTTTACCATATTTTGTGTAGTTAAAGGGGAGTCATTTGGAAGAAGAACATTCCAGTGAACCTTCGCCTGCCCATTGAATAGCCTCAGTCGCTAAGATGGAACGCAGACTGTGCTTGTCAGGATAAGCAATGATTCTCCCACGATGCCTAAGACATTATTATCAACTCAGGATCAATAGACATTACAAAGCAGCATTGCTTTTATTTTCAGCTTTAACCTTTGAGAAAATCAAGGCTTCAGAATATCGAATCAGGTCAGCGCATCAGCGATTGCAGACACAGATACAATTAGGGCATCTGGGTGCAGCCCAACAATTGTAAATCTTCTTCATGAGGTGCCTTAGTTTCCCATGCTGTGTGGTGTCCACACAAATAAAGCATCTCATTGAACAGAGCTTTGGCCTTAAAGCTTATCAACGTGCATTTTCAGTTCACAATTATGGGATATTCCATTTTACATATCGGAAAACATAAAGTCACAGGGCTTATAAATCCTGCCTGTGTGCACGCATGCTCAATCATTCAGTCATGTATGATTCTTTGTGACCCCACAAACTATAGCCCACCAGGCTCCTCTGTCCATGGAATTTTCCAGGTAAGAATACTGGAGTAGGTCACCATTCAGTTCTCCAGGGGATCTTCCCAACCAGAGATTGAACCTCCTGTCTTGGGTCTCCTGCATTGGCAGGTGGGTTGTCTACCACTAGTGCACCTGGGAAGCCCTAACCCTAGATTTGGATTCACCTAGCAGTTGTGTAGCCAAGAGGAGTGGCTAAAGGTGAACTAAGTGCAGGAGGTATTATTAGCATCAAAAATGTAAAATCTATAAAATATCAACCAGCTAAACAACCCTCTGCAACTGACGAAAGCTTGGTGAGTTAGAGACTTCTGTTCAGCCATAACCCTGCAATCCCCTTATGAAGGAGACACTCAATTTCTGAAGCACCTTGGATCTTGTGTACTTTTCCTGCTAAGGTTGTTTTTTTTCTGCCCATTTGTCACTATTTCTCATGGCCCACAGATTCAGACTTGGGAGATGGACAAGGGAGTTTTGGAAGTAGGACAAAAGTGAATAGCAGTATTAGGAAGCCAAGCTCCTTGGCTAAAGCTCCCGTTTGTTATCTATTTTAGAAGCAAGACAAATCCTTCAGACATTTCAAGGGCACACAGATATCCTGAAATACGTAATCTTGCTAATAAGAGACAGCAGCCAGCCAACCGCACTGGCTGGCAAGGGGCCACCAGAGGCAAAGTGATTCTCTTTGAGCTGTACTGTGGGTCAGGCCCTCTCTCTCTCTCACTATTACACACACACACATACACACATATAAAAACCCACATATACACTCATTGTGTGCACATACCACTGAGGTCAGGTCTGTGACAGAATCTGAGATCCAGGGAAATTCATTCTTTAAAATAAAAAAGTATGCTTATGGATATCTTTATGAATTTATTAATATCATATATGTGATGCTTGTGAATATCATATTTCTGATGTCTATGAATATCATAAAAAATTATTTCTGCAGGTCTCAGGAGAACCAAGTTTGATCCCTGGGCCGGGAAGATCCCCTGGAGAAGGGAATGGAAATCTACTGCACTATTCTTGCCTGGAGAATCCCATGGACAGAGGAGTCTGGCAGGCTACAGTCCTCAAGGTCACAAAGAGTCGGACACAACTGAATATGCACACACCTACACAGTATTAGCAATATATTTGGTACTCATTTTACACCAAAACACATTTGCATGAGTGTTATCACTGAAGTTCACACTACCACTTGCCCTGTCAGCAACACTGGACACAGATTTTCACTCCCTCCTTCCTGAAATCCATCCTTCCTTTGGCTGCTGGAAGAGCACTTTCCCTCCACCTTGCTGGTTCCTCCTTGTCAGCCCAGCCTCCAAATGTGGACATGAGCTCAGTCCTTAGATGGACTTCTTCTCTTTCCTGGCTATACACCTCTCAGAGATGTTTTCTTCTGATCCTGTGGTTTTAAACAGCACTTCACTTACAAGACTCCTAAACTGATGTCTCCAGTCTGGACTTGTCCTAACTCCAAACTCATATCCACCTGAATACCCTACAATCTCCTTGGATCTTTAATAGAGAGAGAGCTAATAAGATCAAGCTCCTGATATCCCTCCTCCTTGGTCACCAGATTTGCTCATGTCACCATCTTTGCCATCTCTCTAAGTGGAAAATCCATTCTTCCAGTTGCTCCAGCCCAAGATCCTCAAGTCCTTCTTATGTCCCCTCTTTCTCTCCACCCCACATTCAATCCACAGCAAATTCTGTCAGTTATACTCTCAAAGTATGCATAATTTAACTCTGTCCACCACTACCACCCTGTTTCCATCTTCTCTTGCTTTGATTCTTACAACACTATACTAATTCATCTCTCTGCTTCTACCCTTGTCATCCTGGGTAGTACAGTCATTCTGTTAAAATGTGTTAGTTCATGTCACTCTCCTGCACATGTTTTTCATTGCCTCCAAATTCATTTGGACTAAGCCCATGTCCTTATACTCTGTGTTTGCCTTGGTCCCCAAGGACATAGGTGATTGGGTCTCTGACCTCAATTCCTAGTATTTTTTTTCACCTCATTCATTCATCTACAGCCATGCCAGCCTCCTTGCTAATCTGTGATCATGCTGAGCACACTCTCATCTTTGCACATCCTTGGAAATTTCTTTTCTCACATACACACACTACTCACTTTCTCCCTCTTTGCTCAGAGGACACTTTAATAGTGAGACCTTCCCTGACTAACTATTGTATAAAACAGTAGCCCCTACCCTAGCCCTGTGCCAGCATCTACTCAGTTATCCTCTCTCTCTGGGGTCATCACATAATTCACCAGCCAAAAAGACATTTACATGACTGAACGGAGGCACTACTAGTTACTCTTACACGTCACACATATGCCAGGACTTTTCCAGGCTCTTGGGTGCTCTGTTGCTCAGTCGTGACTGATGCTTGGCCATATCATGGACTGTAGCCTAACCAGGCTCCTCTGTCCACAGGATTTTCCAGGCAAGAACACTGGAGTGGACAGCATAAATGGTCCAGGGTACCTGTCACCACTCAGCATAGTGTTTACTCAGGTGCTTGTTCATTGCTTGCTTCTCTTCAGTGGAGTATTATCCAAGACATCAGAAACTTTTGTTCACAATTATATCCCCAATGCCTGGAAGGTAACCAGCCAAAGTTTACTGAATGAATGGATCATTTACTGATTGAATGGATACCTGGATGAATCAGTATGCCTTGTACTGAATTGAATCCATGAAAACCTGTGCTATACCAATAATAATTTAAAATACTATCTAAAATGTTGAAATACTTACTGAGTAAATGGCAGGCACAAATATGATGGATACTGTATACACATCCTCACAGACCCTCACACCCAATCCCTCACGCCCCTGTTACAGACCGAAGGATGGTGCTCCGGGAGCTGAATGATCTGCGGGTGAAGCTAGAAGGTGCTGGTGCTGCGCTTCAAACTCATCTCACCAGCTCTAAAATGCTTTTGAAGGTCACCCCCATGACCTGTGGACCAGTCTCTCTGCTGTGATCTGTCTCAACTCCATCCCTGAGTCTATCTTCTGGGCGCCTTCCTCACATCTGCCCTCCATTTGCCAGGCTTTTCCATGGACTCTCCTGCTCGGCCCTCAAAGTTCCCTGGGATGGAGTGAGCTTGCCTGCCTCTGGCCCTCACCTGATGTGCCTCCTCCCACCCTGCCCGGGACACTTGCAAGTGGGCAGCAGCTGCAGCTCTTGATTTCTGCTCTGATCCTCAGCAGCATGAGAGTTCAGCCTCCTGCTTATGCTAAGACCACTCTTTCCCCTCTTCCCCTTTGTCCCATATTGTCAGTCTGCCTCATCCCATCCTATTTCTCCAATAACATTTCCCAAATGTTATGTCATTTAGTAAAAGTCAAGCTCTCTCTCTCCCAAACTGGAGAATGTGCAGTTACACCCGTTCATTGTTTATTACAATGCACTTTAATAAAGCTCTTTCTACGTGGTTATTAGAGATTCAAAGGGGACTGGATCTTACTTAAGTCCTCCTTATATCTTAGCAGGGCCTACCAAAGTGCTCAGCTCCTAGGAGGAGCTGAAACCAGTATTGATTCTGCTAGATATGCTGTGCGTGGATTGTTTAAGAAGCAGTTAGAGAGGCAGAGCTGAGGCTCCAGTTAGAAACTGTAAAACATCCACGCGTCGATGAAAAATACATGTGTAAGTGAAAATGAGAATTTTGAGAAAACAAGTGACAAGTGAGAAAGCTTTAAGAAATGCTGTATTTAAGGTAGAAGTAGAAAAACTGCGTAATTTTTTAGAATGGCTTGGTACTCATAATTCTATGCAATATGTAAATATATACACTCTGACAGAGAATTGAATGAATAAAGTTGTAATGATAAGAATCCCCTCCCTTTTCATGGAGTACCTGGGACTGATTTTTTGGCCTTAATCATTTAGCTTCCCTGCGGAGGGGATTTCAGAGCAGACCCCATAAGGCATCAGAAATCATATATAAGAAATAAGGATGCTACTATGTGTAGCTCTAGACCTTCAGTCTAAGGGGGAAAACTAGATAGTAGCTCATGACCTAGAGGTCATGCCTTTAGGCTACTGTACAAATTTGCTTGATCCAAAGATCTATTTGGGGGAGGGGAGAGAAGGCTGGGTCTAAAACAAATTAAAAATGAAAATTTAAATAAAATGTTAAAATGCAGCCCCACACAAAACAAATCAGTTTCTTTGATATATTACCAAGCACTGACACAACAAGCATTATGTATAGGTTTAGGATAAGTCATAAAAAATCTTGCAAGTGAATGCATTTTATTTGCAACTTAATTTGCAGATCAAGCATGAGAACAATTTCTGGATTTTTGAAAACAGACCACACAAATCTCCATTATGCCGGGACATGAGGCAAAGTTTCCAAGGACCATAAACCACTGTTAGCCTGACTTGCACCCATACCTGAGCTATAAATTACTTCACAGGCAATTATATCACTGAGTTAGTCTGTCCTCCTGCAAGGTTACCGTTAAAAGTACTGTCCCACGGATCAAGCCAAGGTTTAAAGTGGGAAATGTGTATGTTTGACCAGGTTGTTAAAAGTATTACACACAATCAGGTTGTGTTCAGGTATGATCGTCACAAGAGCAGCTGGTGCTTTTCCGGTGTCTCTGTGAAGACCCCCTCGCATCTCTTTCATTAGGAAGCGGATGGTGGCATCTCCCACGTGTGTAGCTGTACAAAGGGCATTCGTTCTACCAGGGCCCAGGCATTAAAGATAAAGGACCCCAATTACAGCTGGAGTTGTGTGTGTATGGATAAATGAGGCAGCGAGGGGATAATCTTCTTGTGCTTCCTGAATAATACTGCCCTGTATTCTTGAATGCTTGTATAGACGTTTCAGCCAAGAGAGAAACAGCCTTGCATTTCCTTGCCTTGAGAGACAATGAGATACCCCATGACCATCCTGCCTCCTCCTGCTTATAGGAGAGTCCTTTAAAATGCTGAAATCCAAGCCATTTCTACAGTGAAGATATATAGAAGTATATCTAGATAGTAAATGTTGTGGGGCAGGATGATCTATACTTTTCCACCTTGGAACATTCACAGCAGTCTTCCTTTTAAACCAGTCTTGAGAGGAAACTCCAGGCAAGTAAATAGCAAAAGCCAGCCCCTAGTGAAAGCTTACTGTGGTCCATGAACTGTTTCCAGCTTTGTACTTATTGACTTGTTTAATCCTGATTCAGTATTAGTGGAGCTTCCCCGGTGGCTCAGCGGATGAAGAATTCACCTGCAATGCAGGAGGCATGGGAGACTCAGGTTCAATCCCTGGGTCAGGAAAGATCCCCTGGAGAAGGAAATGGCAACCTACTCTAGTGTTCTTGCCTGAAAAATCACATGGACAGAGGAGGCTGGCAGGCCGTAGTCCAACAGTCCATGGAGTCACAAAGAGTCGGACACGACTGAGAGGCTAAGCGCCATGCACAGCTATTAGTATCCCCATTTTATAGAAGAGGAAACTGAGATACATCGGATTATATAACTGACCCAGGATTACATAGTAAATGCAGGACTGAGATTTAAAATGCAGGTCGTCTAACTCTAGAACTTTCCTCCTGAGCACTTACATTCTGAAGCTATTACATCTCCTTACTAAATAAGGTTTCAGTTAAAACCCAGTATTTTCATCTACTATTACAGCTATTGCTTCCTTTTCCTTAGTAGATTATTCAAATTCTCACCTGGATCTGCCCTAAGGCAGCCAAATGCTTTTGAAACATATTTTACTTTTGAAAGGGCAGAAGGATACAAAACTTGTCAGTGGTATTTCTGGACCACAGGACAATGAGTAAAAGAGAGAAAGGGAGAAGAAGGGGATTTATAGAGGTGCTGATATCTATTGAGTGACTCTACAAATTGAAGTAAGATGTTCAAAGCTGTATTAATTTCCTAGGACCATTAATTTCCTAGGACCATTAATTTCCTGTGTACCATAACAAAGTACACAACCTATGTGGCTTAAACAAGAGAAATATATTGTCTCAAAGTTCTGGAGGCTGGAAGTCCAAGATCAAGGTGTTAGCTGCATTGGTTTCTTCTCAGGTCCATGATGAAGGAATCTGTTCCAAATTGCTCTCCTTAGCCTTGAGATGGCTATTTCACATCGTCTTTTCTCTGTGTATATCTGACTCTACGTCCAAACTCACCCTTTGTGTCAAGCAAAATGGATTAGAGCCTGCCCTAAAGACTTCATTCTAACTTAAAATGAAGGTCTCTATAAAGACCCTACCTCCAAGCAAGGTCACATTTTGAAGCCCTGAAGGTCAGACTTCAACATGTAAACTCTGAAGGACCACAGATCAACCCAGAAGAAAGGCCACAGAGTTACTAAGAGGTAAGAAAGGCTGGGATTCTAATTCAGAGTTTTTATATGCCAGAAGATGTTCTATTCATTATCATGCTAATTTGCATTTGAAAGTGAAAGTGTTAGTCATGTCCAACTCTTTGTGACCCCACGGACTGTAGCCCACCAGGCTCCTCTGTCAATGGGATTCTCCAGGCAAGAATACTGGAGTGGGTAGCCATTCCCTTCTCCAGGGGATCTTCCTAACCCAGGGACTTGCATTGTGGGCAGATTCTTTGCGATCTGAGTCACTAGGGAAACCCAATTAAAGACTCACAAGTAAAGTCCAACACCAAATTCTGGGGTCTTCAGTTATTCGTGTGAGGCTCTAAAGTGGTAAAAAAAAATAGATAGATAGATAGATAGATAGATAGACGCAAAAGGTTTTCTTTCTGAAAGTAAATGTCTTTAATTTCTATCTCTCCAATGTCCCTTTCTTCCCCTGGAAATAATATTAATACCTCAGTACCTCCCATTGGGGAGCTGACCCTCCCCCCTCTATGTTCTCATGGCTGAAGATCTCCTACTGCACAATACAGGGTGGACTCAGTTCTCATCAGCACCTCTTTCCCTTGGGTCTGAAGATTGTAAAGATATGTGATCCTTGATTTCCTAGAGGTAATATCCCCCCAGAAGAGAAGCCTGAGATCTGATACTCTGAGCACCAGCACATGAAAGCCAAGTAAAGACAGAAAGATGGGGGAAAAAAGACAGAACAGACCAACGGATAGAGTGGCTGAGGTCAGTTACTCCTTCAGACACTGACTTTATTTCCCCTGAGGCTGGATCTACCCCAGCCTGGGCATGGGTGGCTTGTATGAGTCAAGGAATGATCCCCTTTTTCTCCTTTTTTCTTTTCTCAAGATAGTTTAAAGAATATTTTACTCACTTGCCACCAAAAAATGGTTGGAAGTGAATAAATCCTGAATCGCATTTTTATATATGTAATTGCATCACAGAATTTATAATGTATGAAGTACCATGATAGGAAGTAACATTTCAGAAGCAGAATTCATATAGTCCTATTTCAGAAACTAGTTTAAGTGTTTGAAAGGTCATAAACTCTATGTTTTCCATTTGCACCATAATCAGTTTGACTCATAATTTCACACAGTAACCCCTAGAGCAAACCATCAAGATGGTTAATTCATTTTAAGATGAAAAAGTGAAAATTAATAAAAGTAAATATGGAGGCTGCTATCAAACTGCTGCTACTAATGGATATGTTTTTCATCTCATCATTGCAAATCACATTTTAGATCAGAAATTCAAAATATTCTATATAACATTTTAAATAAAACTATATTGCATTTTCTGGAATAAAAAAAGGTTTCAGAACCCATTGTCAAATACAATAAAACAACTCTTCATTACATAAACATCTTTATTACTTAGTCATGTTCTCCTATATTAATCTTGAGCTTATTTACCAGACTGGTGCTTTAAAAATTAGTTGTAGAATCTGTATCTCTGCAGATAAAACCAACAATATTTTCTGGAGGAATAGCATCTTCCTCAGGAATGAAAGGAAAACCAATGGCTAGA